TTGTACTACCTATATTGACAATATGCATATGCCTTTCTGTAGCTTATCTCATAAGAACTCCACAGTTAAGCGTGCTTGACTTTGAGTAATATAGGGATGGGTGACCTTCTGGAAAGTTTCCCAAAAATTGTGTAATTAAGGACAAAACATGCTGAAAAGTGAAGTATTGTGAAATAGAATCCTTGAGAGGCCAAATATGAGTATTTCGTAGCGACCGAATTTGCAACGTTTATAAAATTTAATAAAATAAAAAATAAATCTTTAGCGACCGATTTATTCGGTCACTAATTTGGTCCTCATACACATCAGCGACCAAAATCATTGCAACCATTTTGCGACCGAAATTTTCGGTCACTAAATAGCGACCAAAATTTTCGGTCGCTAAAACAAAATTTTTAGGGACCGAAAATTTTTTGGTCGCTATATAGCTTTGCGACTAGGGTTTTTGCGACTACTTAAATTCGGTCGCTAAGGTAAATAGAGACCGATTTTAACAATTTAGCGACCGATTTTGGTGGTCGCTAAATCCAATTTTTTTTGTAGTGATCTGACGACACTATAATGGCACCTAACACTTTAATTATCATAAATCTTTAACTTGCCATATAATAAGGGTTTCCTGTAAGAACGACAGGATCTCAAAGATTAACAATTTACACTAATTAATTCACACTTCACAACATCTACAATACAATTATCATACATCAAGCATAAAAGAATCATATGAAGTACAAATTTTCAACAACATGCAAATCAAACTCAGGATTTTTCCAATAAAGCATAAAAGAACAAAAAACGAGATATGGGTCAATCCCACTACCCAGTAGATAAGTTGCACTCTAGAACGAAATTACTTATTCCCCCTTATTTTTCAGAATGTGCTCTTATAGTCTCATTCTCCTCAAGAATGTCTTTATTTTAGAGAAAAGGATTTGAACGTATGAACAAAAGTGTGAAACCGACCAAACTTTGAAACCACCCTTTTAAAACCCAACTCCCTCCTCTTAATAATAAACAAATATAATAAAACACCTATTTCTCTAATAACCCATTACTAAAATATTTTGTAAACCTTTCTTATTTAATTAAAATCACTCATAATTATTCAAAAGCATCTAATTATTTCCAAATTTCAATTAACTAATTTAAAAATATTTTATTTAGGTGGTTTGGTTGGTATGCCTGTTTTCTATTTGCATTTTCACTGAAAATGAAATTTTGGGATGAAAATGCATTTAGTTCTTATTCTAGTTTGAAAACATTTTCAAAAATAGTCTAAATTTAAAAATGAAATATTATCGTTTTCTAGATTTTCAAAGAAAATGAAACTGGAGAAATGCAGTGGCTCACATGTAAAACTCGGAGTGTTACATACAAGACTCGTCTTTGAATTCTTATGTGGCTCTCGTTAAGTAGATTCGATCCTTCTAAGACAAGCCATGGACTTTTTCTCTCTGTTATGTGTATAAGGAAAGGAACCCCTTCCAAAAATTTGGTGGAGTGATGTGTGGTTTTGGAGGGGAGGGATGTTTTGCTGATAAATGTAGGAAGGTTTTTATGAATCCAGAGAAAAAAAATGCAATTGTATTGGTGTTGGGGTATGGAAAAACAATTGATGGGTTTGGGATTTGACATGGAAACACCCATGGTTCTAATGGCAAGTTCTTATTGTAGAACTCTTCATGTATGCTTTGGAGGGGTGCAGTTAAGGCAACATGAAGATGATGCCTTAGTTTGGAAAAATAACTTGGCAGCAACATACTCGGTCAAGGAGGCGTGCAAGTCTTTGCTTCCTCCAAACTCAGTTACTCTATGTTTTACACAAGCTTACGGAATTTATTTATACCACCTAATATTGCTATCTTTGTTTACAAGTTGCCAACTAGAGCCTATTTAATGACGCGTAAGATTCAATTATTGTCTAATGAGTGTTGTTGTCCTTTTTGCAATTCCAGTGAAGAAACTATATATGTCTCGTCTTTTTTCTTCTTTTTTTTTCAGTGTAGGTTTGCAACATCTATTTGAATTGTAGTTATAATTGGTTGGGAGTGCAGATGGTTCATCATTAATTGGGAACCAATCCAACATTTCTTTCAACATTATCATGGGTTAGGAATATTAAAATAAAGATTTTGGAGGACTATTTGTTGTGCTTTAGTATAGATTTTGTGCTCGTTGAAATAGAATTGTGTTTTGTGGAGAAAAATATAATTTGGATGTTGTCATAGAATTGATAAAATATGATAGTTGGTCTTAGCTATCTGCAAGGTTACTAATTTTGATTACTCTTATTGACTAGTACACAAATATAAGGGTTTTCGTTACCTAATTGTACAAAGGGCTTATTACATAAGAAAAAGGTCACACTAATAGAACAGTATCATTTTTCTGCGAATTTTTTTGTAAAATATTATTCACATAAATTTTTTACGAATTTTCTTACAAAAATTTTTTACAGAAATTTTTTGCGAATTTATTTGTGAAAAATAATTTATAGATATTTTTTACAAATTTTGCTACAATTTTAATAATCATAGAAATTTCTTTCAATGGTAAAAATTTGCTGAAAATATTGTAAGAATTTTATTTTGTTTCTTGCAGATTTTTTGTAAACATAAATTTGCAAGTAATGTTTACTAAATGGTAGAAAAATTTTGCAGGTAACTTTTTTCCTGCGGATTTTCCTACAAATTTTAATCTACAGAAGAAAAAAAATATATTTGAATTTATAAGTTTAATGTTTAAAAAAAATTTCAAGTCCCACAACGATTGAAAATAAAACAATTAAAGAGTATATAAGTTGGGGCAACACTTACCTTACAAGTTGATTTGTATGGTTGAGTGTTACACTTATAATCTACAATCTTATAATTTAAATGATTATGTATCACATGTTGGAGGCATGGAAACAAATGCTTAAGTTGAAGAATTATTGATAGAATTTATAGTAATTTCTTTAATTTTTTTCGTAAAAAATATTCCTGCAGAATTTCTTGCGAAAAAATTCGCAGAAAACTTTCCTACGAATTTTTTTTTGCAGGAAACTTTCCTGCGAATTTTTTTCGCAAGAAAATTTCCTGCGAATTTTAAAATTCGCAAAAATATATTATCCACGAAAGTATTACCTGCAGATAAAATTTCGCAGAAAAATTTGTAGGAACAACGTTTCCTACAAATTTTTATGAAAAATTCGCAATAAAAGTTGCATGTAATAAAAAAAATTCTAATAATATTATTTATAACCGCTGGTGTTATATCGTTGTAGAGTTGTGATGTGGGCAACTAGTATATCTGTGACGGTAGATATATTGGAATGTAATGTTTTTTGTTGTTTAACTAAACAATTGAGTTTTGTTTGTCTAAGTATATGGACTAGCTAGAATCTTGCATGCAATAGTTAGGTAGTCATTTTTGGTTATCTAGCACATGATTTGCTTAAAATAGATATGTAGTGTAAGTCTTTTTTATTATATTGTTCCTAAAATATATTTTAAACCAACATGTATTTTTTGGTTTAATAAAGAGGTATAACTCCTTCTCATCAAATAGTAAAGTGATATTTCTGATCACGATTTCATGTCAAAAGCAGATATCAAATTCCGATACTTAGTTAAGGAACATAAACGTTAAGTCATAATAATTTTATTTTATTTTTTATTTCTATCATTGAGTATTATAAAAATATAATAATGTGAATTATTTTAAATTTAACAATATATTTATAAAATTATTTCTTTTAATTATTATTTGTGATACTTATCCTAATAACTAAAATATATAAATTTGAGTATAAGTATTTATATAATATTTAATATTATTATTAGGTAAATTATATATTTAATTTTCTATTATTTATAATTTTGGAATAGATATTTTAATTTTAATTATTAAAATTTTATAGTAAATAATATTAATGTGAGCTATTTAGTTCTGTATTAAATGTGATTAGGTTCAAATTAAATCTAATAATTATTGTATAAGTTAAAAGCTTTCGTCCACAATATAAATTCGAATTCAGTTTACTAATATTCATAAATAAATAGATATTCCTACGCTTGTATCGTAAAAAAAGAAGAAAAAAAAAACTGTTAACAATAGTTTGTAACCTGTGTTCTTTAATTACTAACTACGATTCTCAACATAAACATGAAGTTACAATTGAAAATAGATTTTACTTTTACAATAATCTAATTTATGAGAAAGAACTATATCTTTTAGTTATAAATAAATAAATAAAATAAAATAAACAATGACAAGATCAATTAATACAAAAGCAAAAAAAAAACTATAAATAATGACATTGATTACGCCATTACAACAATTAAGCTAACATATGAACGAAATATCCGGACCAAACCAAACACTAAACGATATTAGCAGATTCCTAATCAAATAATCTTTACCTGGTCAATCCTATATGTTACTATGATTATCATATATAATTTTAAACCTGGGATACATAAATTGAAGTCTATCCGGCATGTCTATTCAACTTTGTAAGCATGCACAAAGCAACAAGAGGAACGAATATTAATTCTTCAATAGTACTATTATACTCTATTTCTGATTCGAATTAAACATTCTTGTTTGACAAATTTAAACATATTTTTTGTTTTGAGAAAAACTAAAATTATAAAATAAAATTTTATAGGAATTATATTTGTGTATATATATATATACATATAAAAATATGTGTGTGTATGGAAAGATCAAATTATATTAGTGTAAATTTTTTATCAATTTATTATATCATTTAATAACTTTCAATGAATATATTATAGAAACTAAAAAATTGTTTAAGTCTATCATAAAATAACAAGTTATTAAAGTCATTTATTTAGCGAATAATAAGTTACCATTTGTTTTATTGTCTGTTCGTTGGTGCTGAAAATGGATATTTTATGACAGATTATGTTGTTCATTACTACACAATGGGAATTTTTTTGGCTTATATGCCGTCCCAAGATATGACCAAGTAAGCCAAATTGTGAATGCCCTTTCAAAAAACAAGGGCATGCAACAATCTGCTATGTAACATGGGTCCCAATTGAAGCTAGCAAAAGGAAAGTTTATAGTTTTGGAGAGCATCATAATAAGTTTGCAAATTTTGATGTTTACCACTGTTTGGTGGAATCTTCACCACCTGCAATAGCACAACCACCTTTGAAAAATAGGAGTGGATCTGCACATAAGATGTTGCTGGAATTTATTGCTGGCATTTTCACAACCATGGTACTGGCCTCACTCTATTTCCTCTTCAGGAGAAAGGTCATTCCATTTCTCAAGTCTTTGAAAGGTGAGGGTGAGCTGCAGTTGTAAAAGCAAATTATTAGAGATATAATTGTATAGAACTCAGTTAGTAGAGACTAGAGAGTAAGTTTTGTTGTCTAAATAAACGGATCAATGTAATTCCTTTAATTTGTACACATTTTTCCTTCTCAATGTATTTGCATTCTCAGTTTATCTTATTTTCCTAATTTTCTCTTCTATGAAACCATGAATTCTAACACAAATAAATACAAAATCAACCAGGTAAATAATTAGGGACTGAACTCAGGAATTCTTACAAATCCAAGTATTTCTTTCACGTAAGGTGGCACTGAATCTTTGAAGTTTTTTTTTCTTTTTTTTTTTTTCATATCTGCAGGAAAGGAGCAGAGCAGCTTTAAATATGACAAAATATCATTAAGGCATTTTGATTTTCAGGAACTAGAGAGAGCCACCAAAAATTTTAGTCAAGATTGCTTGTTGGGTTCTGGTGCATTTGGAAATGTCTACAAAGGAACCTTTGACTTAGAAGGAACACTAGCCATCAAGAGAGCTCATTCTGAATCATTCTCAACTGTGGAAGAATTCAGAAATGGTTAGCCTCAATGAAGATAATTCTTGCAATTTAGAACCTACAGAAAAGAAAATTCAATTTATTATTCTTGACAGCTTTCTTCTTTGTTCTTGGCAGAAGTTAGGCTCCTTTCAGCTGTAAAGCACAAGAATCTTATTGGTCTGGTTGGATATTGTGAAGAACCAGGTGACGTGACAATCAGTCAAAAGTTCTCACATAATTGTGCAGTAAAAATAGAGTTAAAAAAATAATTGTGTAATCAGTGTTCTTAATATGATGATATTGATTGTAAATGGTAGTTTATATTTTTATGTATAAGCAACTCTCAGCGTTGTGAGGGAGTTATTCCAACTCAATTTCATGCTTACTTAGCCTAATTATGCCTTGATCAGAACGAGGTGGAGCCAAAATACTAGTCTATGAATATGTTCCAAATGGTTCACTGCTCGAGTATATCATGGGTAAGTTGTTTGTCCTTCTTAAACCATACTATAGTCAAAGCTATTATGTGTAGGCTTAATAATCCCCCCACCCCCTCCTAACGTGCTTCCTCACTCAAACACTGCATCCAATCATGAAGAAAGAAGGGAGAACGAGTTAAAACATTGACCACTTTTGATTAAGACTTAAACATTTTTTCGTCCCCATAAATATGTAGAAGTGCATTTTTAGTCTTTTATTTTTAAAACGTCGACTTTTGGTCCTTTTTTTAAGATGTATCAATATTTATCCATTACGAATTCTGCTAATCTAATTTAACAATAATGTTCAATCAGCACCACAATGATGAATAGATAACTAGTGATTAACTCCTATCTTTGATTCTGACACAACAAATTCAAGACTATGAATGTTGGCTTCTTGTAGGAAACAGAATGAGCTTAACTTGGAAGCAAAGAGTAAACATAGCAAATGGAGCAGCAAGAGGTTTGTCCTTTAAATGATAGTCCTTACTTGATTCAACATGAAATCCTCTAATTAACATAGAATTGCTGGGTGCATTTTGTAGGCATAGCTTATCTGCATGAAGGGGTGAAGCCAAGCATAATACATCGCGACATCAAACCAAGTAACATCCTATTAGGGGAAGGTTTTGAGGCTAAGGTTTCAGATTTTGGACTAGTAAAATCAGGGCCAACTGGAGATCAGTCACATGTCAGCAGCCAGATTAAGGGGACACCAGGGTACCTTGACCCTGCCTATTGTTCAAGCTTTCATTTGACCAAATTCAGTGACGTTTATAGCTTTGGTATCATACTTCTGCAACTTGTTTCAGCTAGACCTGTGGTGGATTCCACTGAAAAACAAAGTATTCAACATATTATTGACTGGGTAAGCAATGCAAAAAGCCCCCAATCTTCCAATGCAAAGAGTTGCCTCTTCTGTCTTTTTTTAACTACGGTATTCTCAAACCGAAAATTAAAGACTAATACCTTGAAGTATTGAGATCCATTTAAAGAATTGACTTCTTTTGATAAATGTTCTTCCATCCATATAGATCAGGGTTTTAGGGATCAATGTCCTGACCACATATTTAAGGGATAAGTCGATAAAATTATCTACCAACTATGTCACACCTTGATTAACAAAAAATTGTCTTTTGTTTGTCACATTTGTCAAATGATAACAAACAAAGATGATCATTGTAATTCAATAGTATAGCTTGGTATGTTATGCAGGCAAGACCAAGCTTAGAGAAGGGTAGTGTTGAAGGAATCATGGATGCAAATCTACTATGTCAAAGTGAGGCATGCAACATGGAAGTTATGCTAAAGATGGGGCAACTTGCTTTAAGATGTGTGGTTGAAGAACCAAAACAACGACCTACAATGACCCAGGTGTGTCAAGAATTGGAGCAAGCCCTCTACTCAGCTGATAGCTTCAATAACAAGCAGTCTTCAAAGGAATTCTTTACACCAACTGGCTCATCCCAGCCATCAACAAATTCAGAGTCTCAGGGATCAGTTGATTTATACGATTGTTCACAAAGCTTTGTTAGTATTAACGGTGTTGGATTTCAGAAATTTCATGTTGATATTGATAGTTTATCCTTTAAGAGCACAGACTTAAGGTGTCTAGAAAATAATAGTATTAGTATTGACATGGATAGAATTTAGTTAGTAGTAGTTTTAGCATTGACGAGCAATTTGAGGAGAATACATGAGAATGAGATCATATTCAAGATATGATATGACCTTAAGTGAATCTCATTCATCACTCTTTTTCCTATATTGGAAATCATGTAGATAACTTGATATGGATAACTTCAATGAAGCTCAACATTGTGATTTGTGTGTATGTACATACATTGCCCGGAGATAGAATATTACTAGAGCAATTTACTCAAAACTTGACAAAAAAAAATGAACTCTAATTTTTTCCTATTCAAGCTATAATTTCTCATCCTACAAAATTCCAAAAACTTATCAAATTTTTGCTAAATTTTTATCGTTCTAAATTTCAAAACTTATCTACTAATTTTACCAAACACATTTATCTTAGTCCTTACCACCCCGACAAAAACTACAACAAATTTCAACAAACATTGCGGAGATAAAAACACTAAAAAAAAAATATTAACTTGAAAATACAAACATTGCGGAGATAAAAACACTAAAAAAAAATATTAACTTGAAAATACAAACATTGCGGAGATAAAAACACTAAAAAAAAATATTACATAAACAAAAAAAATATTAACTTGAAAATATAAACACTGTTCATGAAAAACATAAAACATTTATACCACTGGAGTCAACCTAATGATGAAAAAGTTGAGATAGAATTTACATAATGCTAAATCCAAACTTTATTGTTGTTATTATAATTTCTATAAATAAAAAAATTATATTTAATCTTTTCAACAATAACCACTAAATTTTGCTATCTAGTTACTGTTGCTATTCTTAAGTCGTATTATCCCCGGCATTCTCAAGTCAGAAAATGTAATTATCAAATTCAATAATTTCACATTACATCAAACTTTGCTGTGTGAAAAATAAATATATACCAACATAATGTGATAGAAACACTTAATACTCCCATTTAAAATTGGCAAATATTACGTACCCATATCTCCCGTAGCTACTACCAGATCCAAAATTCTTATTCATCGTCCTTAAGGGTATTAGCCTTGTGTCAAACATAACCTAAAATAAATAAGGATAACAGGCAATATGAACTTTGGATATTTAGTTTTCCTATTGCGTGCGACAAACTAGTTATCATGAACTACGTAAATGAGATGCAATCATATGACTGCCTCTTAAAGATCAAATATTCAAGGTCACCTTTGACTTTGGTGCTCTACTTTCATGATGCTTTACTCACGCAAACTACATACTCCAAGTCACTTGTTACATTGTACTAATTGACCGAACATTTTCTCAATCTGTTAAATTGGATATACAATCTGGCGGGTCACCACTCACCAGAGATCAATGTCTGCTAAGAGTACAACACTAGATACAAGCATAACAGATGATACAGGCAGCTTCATCAACCTGAACTAAGTTTCCATAGGTGCAGCACAGGGAGCCAAAGTTCTAGAAGGTAGGGGAACACCACCTCCTCTCACTGATAAAGGAGGACCTCTTACTGAGCTGGCTCTGCTGACAAGATTGGTGTCAAGAAATACAACTACAACTGTGATATCATCGTGGAAATGTCGGCGGACACCGCGGTCAATTTTCTTCAAATCAGAGTACCTCATCTCTCTCTTTTTTGCTGCTTCCTGTAAAGCAGCTTTGATGAGCCTCCGAGCAATTCCCTGCAAGACAAAAAGCAAGTAATGCCAGCATTTATCTTTCTCTCTGGTGCTACTATTTTAGGTGTTTGACCTTGGTTAATAAATCTATTTTTATTCAAATTGTGCATGGTAAGCAATTTAAGTAAGTTTTTGCCAATCTACAAAATAAATATAACAGCCTCTCCATTTTAACGTCCAAGACTGTAACCAGTAACTTGTACATGAGGAGATGACCTAAAGGAAAACAGTAATGACACATTAGTGCCTGAAAAAGCATGGTAGGAAAATCAAACGCTAAATGCTCCGACATAGTACATGATTAAAATCATGAATCAGCTATATCAACTAAACTCATTTGAAACTACCGATTATGGGCATGTAAGTTATGACTGGACAAAACTACAGTAACTAAGCAATAAAAAACAACAAAATAGAAACAACCATACACTACGTTTATCTTACATTGTGTGGATTATTTTGAACTATATCAACAGCATCCTGATTGCTAAGGTGTTCCCAGAGGCCATCAGAAGCAAATATGAGAAATTGATCATCCTGTTGAAGTTCATGAACAGAAATTGATGGGTCAGAGCTCAAAATGGGCCTCTTAAAAGCTTCCCGGAGACGAAACTTAGCATACAAAGGTTCCTTGTTGAACTCTGCCTTTTTTAGGTACACGTCACCAATGGATCTAGAGATCTGTTACATAAAAATTTCATAAGTTGTATTATACATGATAAGTTTAAGGTAATGTTTGCTCAAGCTTTTTATATAAGTTTTATTGGGCGAAACACATTTTCTAAAAGGCTCGTATAAAGTAAAGTAGAAGGGAAACAAGTAGCATTTTATAAAAGGCCAGAAGAAGGAGCTTTTAGCAAAAAGTTGCCATCTTTTCTTTCTCTCTCCTCATGTTCTCTCACTCTAGCTCTGCTCCCCTCTCACTCACTTTCCTCTCCCATTCTCTCCCCCTCTCTGTCTCTCACCTCTCTTTCTCTCACTCCCCCCTCGCTCTCTTTTCTCTCCTCTCTCTTCCCACTCTATCTCTGACTCTCTCCCCACTCCTTCTCCACTCTATCTCTTAAGCTAAAAGAAGTGAAAAAAATAAACAATTTCTAGTCTGTTTTGAAGCTCTTATTTTGAGCTTTAATTTTAAAGTAACTTTTAAGCCAAAAAAATTGGGGCCAAACATAACCTATATAATTTAACATCATTATATGGAGACCAAATTCCCTGAAATTAGTATCCTTTATGTTCATTTCTTTCATTTGCTTTGTTGGAAGAACTTTGAATCATGAAATTAGCACAGATGCAGGTTTAGGCGTTTACTCACCCAGCAGTCCTGCACTCCTTATCTAAAACATTTTGCTTAATTGACTGTGTTACTGATAAAGTCAATTACATTAATTTATCTTTGCTAGTTCAACACTTATCCTTAATATAATAGATAGATTATTTTAAGTTTGTAATAAATATAATTTAAAAATTTTCTGAAGTGCAGAGCAGGCAAGTAGAATGTGAGTTTAAATATTTTCTTGGAGGGCAGGTTCGGGTTTGAGCATAAACCTGTCCCTACCCACACCATTCCTAAGCGTACTACAAATTTTTGTAATTAAACCACAGATGACTCAAATCTTAATTGATATACCATGGCAAGCGCAATTACATACACCATCCTTAAGGAATAGTAGGTTGTCAGTTTCCATAGTATATAAAGGTGAACATCCTTGATCAGCTCAAAATGAATATAATTTACATCAAGTTCTTGTAAAATCAGATAAATTTTGCTTTTCCCACCTTGGAGAAACCCAATGAAACCCTTTCAACACCTCAAACAATATATACCTAGACCAACCCTATCTCACAATAACATTTATAAACACCATTTCCATCCAGAGATCTAACATATGAAAATTGATGTGTAGCAAAATCACATCAGGGTATAAGACCACCATAATAGGATCTAGCCATAAAAGTTTTCCTTCGTTTTAGATATCAGTGATCAACAGCCACACAAGCATCCAGCAACTCTAAAAGTATATAATTTCATCATTTTCTTTAGATGCAGCATGTGAGCTACCATTATGATTTTTACATGTTCCATAGTTATTAGAAATCTTTTACTATATAAATTTCACAATTAATCATGAAACAAATAGTATAAATAACACATTCAACTGTTCAATCGTATTCACTCAAAATAAGTAAGGAAGACGAGCATAGCTTTTACAATTCAAGAGTCATTTTAAAGAATAAAGGATGTATTTGGATAAGATTAAAAAAACACTTTTATGATTACCTTATCTTTAAATATTTTTCCCAGAAGCTAATTTTTTCTAGCATTATAACATTTTTTAGGCTTTTTCCCTTTTTGTCAAAAATCTTATAGAAATATCACAAACTTTTAATGTTTCTTCAATTTAAAAAGTTCTTTCACTTTAAAATAAAAATAAAAGGACCACAGTGAGGAAGCAAAACCCATGAGCGGCTGTAGGAAATCCAGGATGAAAAATAGCTCAACAAAATAGCTGGAATGACACAACCATAAAAGCAGCTGCATTTGGCCTTAGCTGAGGAGGAAGAGACAACAATTGGAATGACGGGTAGTGAAAATTCCCCAGCAAACAGTAATACAAGTCCCAAATTTCTCCAAATTCACTAAATAAAAGATACTTAGAAACTTCAATCAGCAAGAATAACCTCAAATTTGAATTTAGAAGACACAAACCATCTAAAACATGTCTGGGAAGTGGAAAATTGATTTAGGCTTGAATTCTCTCAAACTACTTGAATTGACTCGATTAATAGCTAGCTTCTAGAAGAAAATACAATAAGAACACAACTGCAGAACTAAACAGTAGACAAAATTCAGCAACCAAATAAGCTCTAAACGGCCCTAATAGAAACAAACAAAAGGATAGAGCACATAAAAGTGATGCATAAACATAACCAAAAAAACAAGGTCAAACAACAAAAAAGAAAGGAAATCAAGTCACTGAACAAATGGAGTTTCAAATTTTGGATTCAGCACTGGCAGCAGCAAAATAGTGATGATATTAGGTCAAGGAAGATGGTAGAACTCTAACCAAGTTGAAATTACAGGGATTTGATGGAAAAGAAAGAATATATCTGATTGATGTGATATGATATGATATATGATATATATGATATATATGATATATATATATATATATATATATATATATGCTAGATAAGCTAGAATTTTTTGACAGGATGAGTTTGATAGGTGTTAGTGGTCCCTACCACTTTATCTTATCTAACAACCATTCTTGAATAGAATCTAGCAGAATTCCATTAAACTTTTGATAAATTTTAAAAGCTTTGTAGCATTAATTTATTAAAAAAAATATTCCTAGTTATATTACTAGTCTAAGTGAAGTATTAGTGTAGCACAATAAAATTATAAAACTATCAATACTATAACAAAACTAAATAACAAATGAATAACCCTAATGTTGTAATATAATATATATATTAATTAGATCATAAGCAATGCATCTACCAAAAAGATCCTCAGCTTTCATCTATTAACTACTGTAATAATATGACAATTTTTTATACCAATAAATGGGTTGCACAAGGCTACAATATAATCTATGATTAAAATATGTCATATTACTTCAATCTCTCATTTATCTGGTTGAAAATACAAGAACTCTCCCCCCCCCCCCCCAAAAACACTACTTATACCTCTAATGATGTTTGCACAGATCTAAAAATAACTTAAACCTAACTAATCTGATAAAAATAGATTATTCACACAGAGGGTAAATAGATTTTCAGCGCTTATATATCTCAATAAAAATGGTTTAACTAATTATGGTAGATGTTTATATTCAAAGATTAAAAACTCCTTTCCAATTATATGATTAGCAATATTGAGACAATATATTTTGTACTTGGCATTTAAGAAAATCACAATTTCAATCACATTACTAAATTAAAACCATTTTAAATATTATATTTCCAGACAAAAAAGACAAATAGCTTAAAAAATTATTAAAAATGAAATAAATAAATAAATAAACCAAAACGTGACCATAACTCATGCACAACAGAGCAAAGCCTATGCACAGTGGACCAACTCTGAAGACTGAGGAGTCAGTCAACATATCACATAATCCAAATACTTAAAAAAGGTCACCATAATCACATAAGACATAATTTAGATTTGCATATATCCCCTAAACTTAAAATAGAAAATACTGAAAATATGTAGTCTAATAACATATCACATCAAGTTTTTGATAGATTGAAGACAATATATTAAATTTTCCAATTCAAAAAACAAAAGAACAGAAGTATTTGGGAAACATGTGGATTGCCTTGTTCATAAAAACTAATCACCAAGATTCACATGTAACACTTACCTGTATCAGACCCTTCACCCGCCATACATTGTGCTTTAGAACCACAATTTTTGAGTCATCTGGATGCAAAGAATGCATCTCTTGTCTCACAGATTCTATGCCCACATTATGCTCTGATGAAAGCTGGATTGCTAAAACCTCCCCAGTTGCTCTGACAACCCGCCCAAGCACAGCACGGGAATCACCAAGGTTAGCAATATAGAGGGTACCGCCACAAATCACACCAACCAAACAACAAGATCCCACAGCAGCAATTTGGGGATTCATAGGCCACAGTTTGGTAACAATTGACAAGAAACCTTCTTCTGTGGCTTGGTACGCTTTCCGAATAACCTCCACAGACATGGACTTATGCTCAGATGCAAATCCTTAAAAAATACACACACGTCAATACAAATGTTCACAAGCAACATTGAGTAATTAGTAGAACAGAAATTCATAGGTGCTCCTAGAGCAAGTCAATTTTCATGCTCCAGACTATTGAAAATGTACCACATCAATTTTTGGGGCCATCAAACATCAATTTTCTTGCTCCATGCTATAGCCAACAATCTGATGTGATACACACTCAACGGCATAGAACACCTGTGAATCTCTCTACAACATGGAGAGTCATCATAACATGAAAAATAAAAAGCCATTACGTTTTAGATGTTGGAAGAGATTGTCACAAATGTAGCGCGACGTCTCAGGTCCACCGTGGCCATCATACACCCCAACAAAGGTACCATAAGGGCCAGTGTCAAGCAAGCTAAGAGGGCCAGACTCAATCTGGCTCTGATCCTCAAGCAAGTTGTTGGCCTGAACAACAGCCATTGAGTATTCACCAAACAAGTGCTGCCCGGCATCCTTGTACCACAGCAGCCCCTCCTTCTTCCCCGAAACCTCGGAACCCTTGCCGTCGGAGGATCTTCGCCGCCAGCAGGCAGTCAGAAAGTCCATCAACCTTGATAGCATCCCTCATTTCACCCCAAAACAACCACCAATTCCTTCACATCCACAAATGGATGCTCCAACCCCAACCCCAACCCCAACCCCAACACCCCTTCAAAATCCACAAACCCTGCCTCACCTATTTTATATAAATCACAATATATACCTATCTACGCTACTCCTACCAATCAATTTCAAACTTCAAACATTAAAATCCGAGATATTCAAGGTTCAATTGAATTTCAGTGAAGTCACAGGACCAAAAACAAAACAGCACCTGGAAACATAAATATAAATAATACACAATAAATAAGTGAATAAACAATAAATGAAAGCATAGAGTTGTTGGAAAGAGGTGTACTAGGTTGCAGAAGAAACACAGCAACAATTACGTGATGCAACAACGTTAGATCTACAGATCCAAGAAAGGGAAGTGTGGGGTGATAGGGTTTTTGCGTGTTCGTTCACGCGTTTTTTGCTTGGGGTGGTGGTGATGTAGAATAGAAGATAGATAGAGAAAGAAGAAATTTTTGGGGCGATTGAAGAAAAGGGGTTAATGATCATTGATCAGTCATCGGTGGGAGTGACCTCAAACTGAAAAAGAAAAACTCTTTACTTTCTTCCTATTATCTACTCTGCTCTTTCTCGACACACACCGAAGAAAAAGGGTAATCTACAACAACTAACTCTCCCTCAATTTTGTGAATATTACACACTCGTCAATTTCTTTTCTCCTCTTTTCTTTTTATTTATTTATTTTCTTTTTCCTATTTTATTTTATGGTCTTCACCAATTAATTACTCCCACTTTTGCTTTTTTGGGGGAAATTTAATTAGTCATAAATATGGTCTCCAATTGGCATAATTGGAATGAAAGGCCTAGTATCATTGAAGTAATGGCTATGAAATAATTAATGAGATAATTAAGCGCATGCTCACTTTTGAAGGAAATTGTGGAGTTTAGAATGAGAGGAAATTAAGATCTAAGTGTTACAAAGGCAAACAATCAATTTAAAGGAATTGTTTTTGCTCTTGGTTCGATATAGAGGTTTACTTGAATTTTCAAAGCACAATTTGATATATTTATACATGAAAATAAATATATTAGTATTTTTTTTTTAGTAAAGAATGCATATTTTATGTAAAAATAATTATGTTCGAATAGAATAAAATCACTGTATAGTATAAAAAAAATCTTTAAATATTTAGTATAATTACAAATTAAGGACACACTTAGGTATTATATTAGAATGTCTTGGCTTACTAAATTTTTTATTTTATTTTTTATTCTAATTATCAAAAATAGACTGAACCAATACGATCGAAAACCAATTCTAAACTAATTCAATTGGTCCAAAATCATCATTTTGCAACAAATTAGTTAAGAACCAACAAGAATCAGTAAATTGGTTAAAAAAAGTTAAATGGTTTCAATCGATCCAAATATTTTTTAAAATTTTACAAAATTAATTTAAAATATTTTTAATAAAAATACATATTAAATAAAAAAGTATAAATTAGAATAATTAATTTTTAATACTTTTCATATAAATATAATTTAATTATTTATGTTAATTTATAATTTTTAATATCTTTATCTTTTTATAATTTATATTATATTAAATTTATAA